ATTCGTCTGGGAGAGTCGCGACCATGGATATAGTATACATGGACTCCGAATGTCCTATGTTCTGTCGTCTAATAGAGTGAGTCTAGAAAAAGAGCGAGAATAGAGGGGCTATAGTTTTCTTCCTATTTTGTCACTTTTTTATCGTGCGTGCATCCACTTCTCGTTTCCATAATATTGTAGAACGCAACAACATCCCGACTAGACTGGCAAGTAAAAGTCTTAAATCTTATTGCACACTTTGTCTGTGCAGAAAAAGACAGAGAACAGAGGGGCTGTACATATTGGCTTCTATTTTCTGACTATATGCGGAGTCTATGTATATTATGACTATAGTCTCTTTCTACATGTTGGCTTCACTTTTCCGTATGCGTGGCCGTATACGGGGTCCATGTATACTACGTCCATGGTCGCCACACATTATTTGGCGCTTAACACGACGGCGCGTCTCGATGCCTTCCGGCTGCCCGATGATTTCAATAATATATACGGGAACGGCGCGCGCGCTACGCCTCGGCTTTTGCCGAGCCGCGTTTTTCGCATTTGGCCATCCGCGTTGTTTTTGGCACAACATCAAAGATCTAAAGCTGGAGCTTGCCTAGCTTCGCCGCGCCCGCGCGAAGAAAAATAGAACGGTTTCCGCATAGATTCAAGGCCGCGGCATATTAGACATAAACAAAAAGAATTTATCGCGCAAATAGTCGGGACTAGCGATAATCGAACGGGATCGAACGTGGAATGCGACGATCAAATTAGAATCCCAACGGCGTCGCTCAATTTTCCGCTTGCTGATTCGTTTGCTGATCGCCGATCTGTATGCTGATCGTCGATCTGAATCGAATTATCGCCGTGAGCTTCGATATGACAGTCTTGCGAACGTGTCACACGCGATCCTTCTCGCACGCGACGAACGATCGTTCAGGGTCGCAAACTGTCGGAGATTAATTCCTTCGTCTCGTAGATCTTCGTCTCTCTTCCTCGAGTGGCAGCGGACCACGCCGTTTGTAAATAGCACCAAGTGTAAAACATTCGGCAGACTAAACACATTATTACGTCACGTGACAGTGTCGAAAAAGGAGTCCAAGCGGAATATAATCCTCTAATAAAAACGGACCTTACGTCGGCGAAAAATGTTGTCGTGTGTGTGTCCGTAGAAATTACGCTGATGCAATCACAACATTTATTTGTCCACTCGCAAAAGTCCTACGGGAGGTGCGATTCTCTCCAACATCGGAGGAATGAATCTTACAGTTCGACACTTGTTCTCCCTCAGTTAATTTACGACACCCTCGCTCCGTGGAGCAGATCTAAGAAACCCGAGTTTATCAAGTGTAATGAAGAACGCTTACAGAGAGGAAAAACTCGAGCCGTCGCGCACAGCTTCAAACAAAAATTCGAACACCACATTCTCGGCATATAATGGCATCTTCTCGTCGCGTCTCGACGAGATAAGCAAAGGCATCATCTTCCCGATTTTTTTGCTCCTCGACAGCAGCCAGACAGTGTAGCCTTGGGAGCCTCCGATTACTCGGACTTCCTGCTTCGCGTTTTGCAAGGCTACCTAACTTTGTGTAAATTTAATAACAAACCCGCGGTGCACCTTGGATTCTGCGAGACACACTTTAGGCGGGCGGTTTCTTTTTTAGACTAATTTACTAGTACTCGAATTTATTATGGCTGTTATGGTCGCACGCACTTGAAGAAAAAAGACATGGAGATGAGAACAAGTTACAACTGCACGAGCTTTGTATGCATAATTAACATAGCTCTTAATGAACTATTTTAGTAGTTGTGTCGCAGCAAAAGCTGAATAGTTACGAGAACTATATAATTCTCGTAACAACATCTAGCTTTCGTTGCAATAATTGCAAAACAGTTGATCAAGCTGTATATATATTGATTTTGCATGCAAAATCAATATATCTCTACTCCTCATCTCTACTCTCAATCTTTCATGTTAGAGCGCGGATCGCATATTTTTAAATAATTAATACGGTCATGCATTCGTAGATTCGTTGCAAATATCGTTAATGTAACGTAATTCAAGACGTATTCGTACAAGATTTCGTTTCGAAGTTACACGCGCGATTAGAAGCAAAATTTGTATTATCTGCCTATCAGTTCCTGACTGATCAGTATGTATTATCAATCCCTGACTGGGTTTCGAAAGGTGCACTATCGACGCCAAGTCCAATAGGAAGTCGTCATATTCAGGTCGGTCATTTTACATCGGAACATCGAATAGATATCGTATATCCGTAGCTATGCACGCGTATTCAATTAATCCTGGTTTAATCTTATCGAATAACCTTCGTTCTTTGAAGATACGTTCATCGGGAAAAAATGCGCTCAATAAAGTAACAACAGGTTGATATTATCACGGCGGCTCACAACACAATCGCGCATACTGCAGTTTACTGCAACCTTGTGCAGATAACTATACTAAATGCTCAATCTTCCCGATCTCAAATAATTACTGTACACAACCGTGCTCGAAAATGTTACAGCAGTAACGAAGAACAATCGCACATCCGTCTCTATGTTCATTGAGAACTTTGTTTCCCTTCTCTCAATTTGAATCACGCTCTTTGCCAGCCACGACTGAAAGGATCTCTCGTCATTTGCAAGCGACGCGTTCGCCTTTATACGAATCTCACGATTCGTATTCCATTCGACATTATTCCCGAAAAATACACGCGCACGTACTGACTGGTGAACACCGTGGATAAAATATATGACTTTATCGGAAGACGAATACAAACACATCGCAAACGAATACAAAATACCACACATATTATATGGTCGGTTCAACGTAGCCGACTTGCCGAATTCCGCGATGTCATACGAAACGCAAGTTATGTCCCGCCGTTCCGGAGTAACGTTTCGTTCCTTCCTTTTATCCTCTTCGCCGGTACAGGAAGCGTTATGATTGGCCGCGATGCGCCTATTATACGCAATTACGAAACGTACATCGCGCGAGAACAGATTTTTCCTCCGTTCGCGGAGGCTCTCTCGCAGCCTCGTCTTCCGGTTTAGTTCTCCAGTTTCTATGTAGCCGTCCGGCTCGTCCTCGTGGCAGCGCGATTAACTGCACACACGGCTGCGCGCAATCGCCGAGCTTCTCCGCGCGCGAGAATTTTTATGCACCTGTTTTGAATTGCGCCTCACGCATGCATCCATGCGGCCGGGCCTCGCAGCGATCCGTTAAGAGGAGGAGACGCATCGCGTGATCGCCCGTGCACATATGCGCGTGTGAGAGAATGATGCGCGAGAAAATCTTTCGTTGGCTTTTTGGTGCTGACCGACTACCACGAGCCGGTAGTTTGTTCCTCGTTAACGACGAGATAAATAATGGGGAAGTTTAGTGTAGAAGATACATAATTCGCGAAGCCGGCTCGATAAGAAAACACGTAATGAGTGTGATGCTATGTATTAAGAAGCGGAAAAGAGCTACGGCCGAGCCAGTTTCGCCGGAATGATTGAAGCACTTTGTATGGTCATAATGATACAGAAGATAAATCGTGGCATTGACAGTATCGTGGCGCGGGATAAACAAAATTCCGCGCATTCCGTGTTGTTCCGAAAACCTCACGGGTATCGCATAACGATGATGCGTGGATTATGTGTATGATGAGATACTTCAATATGAATGGCAACGCACGACTCAGAGGCGTTACGTAAACATTTGCTGACGGGTATCTTTCTCCTTTTTTTCCACACGTATAGATAGCGCAACGTCTAAAAATACAAAAGAGAGAGAGAGAGAGAGAGAGAGAGAGAGAGAGAGAGAGAGAGAGAGAGAGAGAGAGAGA